TTATTCTAGATATAACATTAATTATTACATAATGAGCTTTGTTTAATATTTGTTGGATTAACGCAAAAACTTTGCTGGGAATCCCAGCAAAAATTTATTTATTTATGTAGACATATAAATTTAAACAAAATTATAATGTATTATAGTTAAAATTAAATATAAAGCTTAATTATTGATTTAACCACAAGCAGAAGCATTGTGAAACATACAATAATTATATATCTATATATGTATATGCATTATTTATATGTTTCATATATACATATGTATKTATGTAAAACAAATGATTTATATTAGGTGAATATGATTCGAGTGTAGTTTTATAAAACTTGAATAATACACGGACAATAAGCTTATTTAAACAGGCATAATATACAAACTATATATGCATATATGTATATACAGACATATATACGTAAATAGGATTATAAAATAGTACAATAGGTTGGATATAGTATAGTATAGCCCGATCAATTCGAGATGAGTATATTTGGCTCAATTGAGTGTAGGACATTGAAGCCCTTGTGTAGAATGCAGGTGCGTAGGACGCCGCAGGTGACCAAAAATTGCGAGAACTGGAATATACGTAGAGATGAGAATTGAGAGATGCATCAGATAGTTCTATATATATATATATACTCAGACTGACCTCCACGGCATGCTGATGTATGTTGCTCACACAGACGACAATGCGTTGTCTCAGCTGCGCCTCGAGTTGGGGCACCTGCAACGCCTCGAGGCGCTGCTCTCCCAGCTGCACGGTAGCAAAGGGTATATTGATTGAATGGGGTACATGGACATGGCCGAACTCGACAACGCTACGCAAATCAATCAGGGCCAATTGTTCCGGTGCGTGCAGCAGCAGTTGATGCACATCCTTGGCGCTAATGCGCGGACACAGCTCCGACTGCAAATGCTGCAGCTCCACCTCCCCGGCGCCAATGTCCTGCAAAATCGGGGAAAAGGCAAGTGTGAAATGAAATCGAATGGCAAAGGCGATTCACTTTCACCAACCAGAACATGTGGCGTCTGCACGCGCAGCGCATGCTGCCGATGGGTTATGCTCTTCGGTGTGGACTCGTACATCTTTTGGGACTCAATCACACAGCTCTCCATCACAATGTCGGGCAGGTCGGAGAAGAGCAGGATGCACTCATTGAAGCCAGAGTTGAGCAGTGTGCTCTTCAGCTGCTTCAATATGGCAACGCCAATGAAGAGCGGGTAGGAGCTGTCGCCCAGCATCAGCTTGTCCCACAGATGCAGAATCTTGTGCAGCGGAAAAACATCTGCAAGCAAGTCCAACAATCAGTCAATCAACCAACCAATCAGTCGGTTAGTCAATCCGGTGCAGACTTACGCGAGAACATGGTGAGAAACCAGGGAATGGCAAACAGTTCGGGTATAAAGTTGATGCTGGCCAAATGCTGTGCCAGCAGCGGCTCATGGAATGCGCTCAGCTGAGAGAATTTACACAGATACTCCTTAATGATAGCCGAATTGTCCTTCAGAAAGAACCACTGCAGATACTTGGGTATAAAGCGGAACAGACTCAGGAATGCCATTTCTAAAAGACAAAAGAAACGAAATGGATTATATATATATATATGAATACATGGAGGAAAAAAAAACTAGTTAATCCTTAGATTTGTTTAACAATATAATCTACATAGATTATTATAGACTATTTGCGAGTAGAATATCAGATAGAGTTATCTATTCATAGCTACCTATACTAGATGTACACCTCTCTCGGGTATACCCTGTGTTGCTATATATACCCTGTGTGGCATTTTACAGGGTATCATAGCAAATACTCCCTGTTACAATAGATTTTGCTTACACTTATCTAAGGATATAAAATACAAATAGCTTTAATTTGTATGATAAACCCGCCTATAGCATTATTACAGGGTATATGCAAGGCATGTTACAGTGCTAAGATATAAATTTAATATTTAATAAAATACTGCTAAAATATGCCCTAACATTGACATTTTATAGGGTATATTCAGCACTGACTGAGGGAGTGATTTATATATAAAACTGAAGCCTCAATACATCTTCTAAATTCATTATGGAGATCTATATACATATATGTATAATATACCCTATAATACACTCTACATTTACCAAATTATACTTTACAAATATCATTCATAATATTATACTCTATCTCTCTTTGTCGCTTTCGCTCTCAGTCTATCTCTCTCTCTCTCTCGCTCACCTTCATTGTTAAAGTTGAGATAGAGAAATGGCGCAGTCAGCGAGTCGAGTCCCTGCCAGTAGACATACTGCGGATGGGCGGTCACCCAGGCCTTGAGCAGACGCTTCAGCTTGCGATGTCCGTCCGGCGAGGAGAGCAGCTCATCGTATTGATGACACCTCGGTATATCCACCTCGATCTGGCGATCCGTGCTGGTCGCTGTGAACTTATCAATTTTCGCGTAGCTCGCATTGGGCAAAACGCCCAGAAGAGCCGCCCAAATGGGACCGCGCAGCAGCGGCGGTATATCAATGGCTGCTTCGCGCTGCAGCTGCTCCGCCGTGTGCGGGTATCCATGGAGTAGGCGTGTGAAGAGACGCACACGACGAAATTGATATTCAATATCACGTTCCCTTATCAGCAGAGGCAGCTGCAGCTGCTGTTCCTGCTGTTGTTGTTGCTGCTGCTGCTGCTGCTGTTGGCGCGGCATATGCAGCAGCGGAAAGTAGACGGTGGCTGGCAAGCGGCTGAGCCGCTGGAGCAGTGGCTGTAGTTTCAGCAGCACCACACGGTCGTCCATCAAATAGGATTGACTGCGCGGCGGGCAGACGCTGGCGCCGCTGAGTCGCACAATTTGGGGCAGCGCCAGGATTGGCGCCTCGCTGCGTATGAGACCCTCCTTCTTCAGCTCCGCCTGCACGTCGCCGCCGGCTAGCTGCCAGAGGTGATAGATCTGCGTCAGGGGACAGCGCAGCAGCAACGGCACAGGCTCTGCCGATGCATCCGGCCGCACGGCCGGCGCCTGGCTCAGCTGGGCAAAGCAGGGATGCTGCAGCAATTCGGTGGGCAGCGGACGGTGGGCGGGCAGCACGCTCAGACAACGCTCGAGCAGCTCGCGCACCTCCTGCGGCAGCTGCTGGTACAGCTCCAGGCGCTGATGCTCACGTGCGATTTTCTCCACAACGCTGGCTTTGGCATTGCGCGCAAAGGCCAACACCTTCCAGGCAATGTTGCTCAGCTTCAGCTTGGGCCACAGCTCCGTTTGCAGTAGCTGCTCCAGCAGGAGCATCGCCCAGGCCCAGACATCGCTCTTGATGTTGCCATTGACGCCGAGCAGACGCTCCGGCGCCATATAGCGCACATTGCCAATGGGAAAGGGAACATAGGCGCCGCCCTTGGTCATATGATGCATGCCATAGTTAAAGAGCTTCACCTGCACAGCATCTTCGCTGCCCTCCACGAGTATATGGCGCGGCTCCAGATTGTGGACGACCAGCCTCTGGGCATGCAACACAGCCAGCCCGCTGGCCACCTGATGGAATATGCGTAGTATATGTGTCTGTTTGATTGGTGTCTGTGCGTGCCGCTTCACATAATCCTCCAGTGTGCAGCCCACATATTCCGAGACGACGATGGTGCGCTCTAAAAGAAAGAAACGCTTCAGTAAGTTCTGCTGTACGCAAAACAGGGAAATGAGTAGATGAGCTTGTGGGTCCTGCTGTTACCATGCTTGCCGCGCACCACATCCAAATACTGGCACAAATGCTCATGCTGCAGCTCCTTTAGCCGCTGGGAACGCCCTAAAATAGCAATCGAATTGGGTGTGAGGGGCAGGCCATTGCTGCCGCACACATCGCCCGGATGCAGACGGGCAAAGAAAGTGATGGCGCATAGGCGACGCGTCTCCGATTTGGTTAACGATGTGGCGCCAGCGGCCATTTGGTGGGGCAGGCAAAGAAAGCAGCGAACACAGCCAAGGAAGAGCAACAATTATTTCTTGGCCACTCAGCAGGGCAAATCAGCTGTTCTGTTATCGATAACAGTACGTTGTCAGCACTGCTTCGGCATTGAGCAACACTACAACAAGTTTGTTTTGCTAATGCACTAGGTGTGTGAGCACCTACGACTTTATCAACTAATATGTAACACAGTTGCACCTTGATATATGTATATGTATATATACATATAGGCATATTCATTAAATATTAGCATTTATTTACTAATAACAAATAATAACTTTAATAATGAATGTTGTTTTCTTTTTATTTTATTTGTTCTGCTTTTATATGTATATGTGGCAAAATATATCATACGGTAAGGGTATCTGATAATCGCCATGCTAGACACATTCGCTTTGTTTGTTTTTATTGCGCACTCGAAATAGTTTCGATTTCGTTTTGTATACAAAAAAAGAGGCGTTGATATGGCAATTTTGTAGCCATTGGAGCGCAGTTAGTCGTCAACGGCGCACTGCACTGCAAACAATTGCCAAATTGAATAAATTGAATTTAATTTACAATCGCAACGCAACTAGTCACAAGGAATGTCGTTTCTGGTGGAGTACACGGAGCCCCATTGGCGGGATCTGGATATGCGTGCCCTGCGCGTCGATCAGGCTTACATGTATTTGCATTCGCAGTATGCCGAGGACAGTTATCTGTATACCCTGTCCGATGAGTGCTATACGGTATGTTAACACTTGCACACATTCATTTCCCGCTGCATTTCATCTCTTAAAGAGCTTTTGTTGTTGTTGTTTCAGTGTCCATTTGCCAAAGTGAAAGCTCTGCCCTCAGCTGAGTCGGTGGAACCGTTAAAGCTCAGCACCGCTTACCCGTTGAGTTTCAAAATTTATGCACACGATCAGGGTCACTATGCCTACGAGAATGCGTATGTGTTGCAATTGGTGTGCGTGTGTGTATGTGTGTGTGCCTTACAGCGTTCTAGAGATGGCCACGTTTGATGTTCATCGTGAATCTAGTGCCGATCAAGCGCGAATCAATACAGGTTTTTGAAAATACCATAAACAAATTTAATGCGAGCAAATTGTTAAATTTGCTATAAGCAACTCTATTGCATATTCATCTTATATAATAATCATATTTGCATATTCCGTGATTGGCTTTCGTGTCTCGTTCAGCACACGCCCATCACTACCACGACGCTCATATGCTTTCTGCTTATGCATAATCTTTATAGCTCCAGCTCCAATTGCAATAATATCATCATGACATCTGTTTACACGCCATTCTTATGCCTAAACGTTGTGTGTGTGTATGAATGTATGAGTGTTTGTGTGTGACTGTTTGTATTTAATGCTTATTCACTTGATTTCTCTTTCATTCGTCCGCTCCCCTTGCAGCTCGGCTTTGTGTGCGCTGCGGCGCAGCGATCTACAAGAATTCGGCGTATATAACCTCACACTTCTGGCCAATGGCAGCTGCAGCTTCAGCGTCGACAAACCCGGCGTTCCCATTAATTACGGTGAGTATCGATTTCCAACGTTAGTCAATCTAATCGCTAACATCTTGTGTGTATAATACTTATCGTACTGATTGTTGATACATACTTAAAACGAAACTTGTTCGTTTGCCATTCATTCTCAAGCCTTTCTCTCTCACTCACGCTTATGTTTTTTGTAGGCTTGTACCAAAACACTTTGAGAGCCCGTTACTAATCCACTCATTGTCGTCCCTTATGTTGAATTCGTAAACGATTTACTGGCAATGTGTCATAGCCAAACTGCAGTCCATCTATGCTACGTACATACATACATATACATACATACATACACATGTTTCATTCATTCTTAGTTGTTACAAAACAGCAATGAATCTCAGCAATAGTAATAGCTGCAGCTTTGTTGTTTCTCTCCTTGGCACTTCAATTTGTATATCGCATTCGTAAACGTGCTTGAATATGTATTTTGTGTGTATACGAAAGCTTTAGATACGTACATATGTATGTATGTCTGTCGTGCTCTCTAAAATACTTTACTAAATGTTAGACTGGTTTTCGTAAACGTTTATGTTTATCTCTTTCTAATTCTACCTCACATTCTCTCTCTCTGTCTTTTTCTCTCTATCTCTCTCTCTCTGCCTTTAAAAATGTGTTAATGGCAAGACTTTAAGAAATAACTGTTTTGATATCTTTTCTCCTCTTTTCCTCTCTCTCAAATTATCTTTCATTAGTTTTCACTCTCTCTCTCTCTCTCGCTCTCCAACTCTCTCACTTTCTCTCTCGCTCTCCAACTCTCTCACTTTCTCTCTCGCTCTCCAACTCTCTCACTCTCTCTCTCTCGCTCTCCAACTCTTTTGTTCTTCTTCAGTCTCTCTTTCGCTCTGTCACCCTCTCTCTCTCTCGTTTTCCGTTTCATTCTCTTTCACTCTCTCTCTCTCTCCCTATTTCGTAAATATTTTACTCACTCGACTTCAACTCTACTCTACTCTACTCTACTCCCGTACAGCATTCCTCTCTGTCTTTGTGCTGGTCGCCTCGCTGCTAATCCTCTTGAAGCTCGTGAGCTGGGCCTGGAAACGTTACCGCTACGATGAGGCAGCTGCCGTGGCGGACAGCATTGGCGATGCAGCGGCGAAGGCGACGCAGCGCCAGCGAATGCGCAGCCTGGACACATTCCGCGGGTAAGCAGCTGAGATACCCTGTAAAATGGAATCGATCTTGTTTCATAGCCCCGTTGCAGCCTTTCGATTGTTCTGATGATATTCGTAAATAGCGGCGGCGGCGGCTACAGCTGGATTGAGCACGCTGCTTGGAATGGACTCCATCTGGCCGATATCGTCTTTCCCACCTTCCTCTGGATCATGGGCGTCTGCATACCCCTGTCGATCAAGGCGCAACTGGGGCGTGGCATCAGCAAGCCAAGAATCTGTTTGCGCATCGTTTGGCGCGCCTGCAAACTGTTTGCCATCGGACTCTGCCTGAATTCAACGAACGGCCCCCAGCTGGAGCAACTGCGTCTCATGGGCGTACTGCAGCGCTTCGGCATCGCCTATCTGGTGGCCGGCGTGCTGCACACGATCTGCAGCCGGCGCGACTACCTGAGTCCACAGCGTGCCTGGCAGCGCGCCATCTACGACATCTGCCTGTTCAGCGGAGAGCTGGCCGTGCTGCTCGCCCTGATAGCCACCTACTTGGGCTTGACATTCGGCCTGCGCGTGCCGGGCTGCCCGCGCGGCTACCTCGGTCCGGGCGGCAAGCACAACAATGCAGCCGATCCCGATTGCATTGGTGGCGCCGCCGGCTACGTGGATCGCCTAATCCTGGGCAATGCGCACATCTATCAGCATCCCACGGCCAAATTTGTTTACGATGCGTCGGCCTTTGATCCGGAGGGAGTTTTTGGTAAGGCTTTGAGTCCCAAGGATGCTCCATCATCTCTGTGTGTTATAGTAACTTTCTATTCCGCCGCTTCTAATTTTATACACCTCCCGCTCATTCACTCTCTCTCTCTCTCTCTCTCCATGTGCCTCTTCCTCTCTCTCTCTCTCCATGTGCCTCTTTCTCTCTCTCTCTCTCTCCATGTGCCTCTTTCTCTCTCTCTCTCTCCATGTGCCTCTTTCTCTCTCTCTCCATGTGCCTCTCTCTCTCTCTCTCTCTCTCTCCATGTGCCTCTTTCTCTCTCTCTCTCCATGTGCCTCTTTCTCTCTCTCTCTATGTGCCTCTTTCTCTCTCTCTTCGTCTCTTTTTCCTTTTTCTCTCATTTCCTGTGCGTCTCTCTCTCACTCTTCATGTGCCTCTTTCCCTCTTCTCTCTGTACATGTGCCTCTTTCTCTCTCTCTTCTTTCTCTTGTTCCCTCAATTTCCTACCGTCTTATTCTCCCTATTCGATCTATCTGTACTCCACTTTCACTTCCATTCTCTACTTTTCATTAATCTTTACATCGTATCTCTCTCCCTCTCCCGCTCTCTCCCTCACACTATCATCCTATTCCTCTTCCACTCTCTATCTCGTTCACTCCCCCTGCTCCTTCTCTACATTCTCTCCTGCTCCCTCTTCATATACTCCCGCTCTCTCTCTTGATATCTCCCTCTCTAATTTCTCTACTCATATATATGCGCATATGTATATGTGTGTGATATTTCCCCTCTCCATTTACAGGCTGCCTTTTGAGCATTGTACAGGCGATGTTGGGCTGCTTTGCTGGCGTCACGCTGCTGGTGCATGTCACGTGGCAGGCACGACTGAGGCGCTGGCTGCTGGGCGCCACGCTCTTGGGTGTGCTGGGCGGTGCTCTGTGTGGCTTCTCCAAGGAACATGGCATCATTCCAGTCAACAAGAATCTCTGGTCGCTCTCGTTTGTGTTCGTCACAGTGGCCTTGGCACTGGTGCTGCTCTCGGTGCTCTACTATGTGGTGGATGTGCGCCAGCTGTGGTCCGGCTCTCCGTTCACAGAGTGCGGCATGAATGCCATCATTATGTATGTCGGCCACACGGTGATGCACAAAATGTTGCCCTGGCATTGGCGGATCGGCGCAATGAAYACGCATTTTCTGCTGCTGCTGGAGGCGGTGTGGAATACGCTAATCTGGATGGGCATTGCTCTCTATCTGGATGCGCGACAATTCTATTATAGTCTATAAACATATCGAATTTATCAACTAAATATATGTATGTACATATGTTTCTAATCGAAACCATCTACTCAATGCGCTCTTCTCATGCCATGAACCAGTTCAGCTGAACCGTTTCATGAGCGGCTTTAAGCCAAGCTTGGCGAATGAACTTGTTTTTGCATGAGGGAAATAGACATAGCTAGGGTGACCATTTGAATGTATTTCAAATTTCTTCAATTGCAACTGAAATGATTTAGCTAGATAAAGAATTAACATTATAATTACATGGTATTATTTGAATTATTTACTTGGATAGAAACCAGCGCTGAAGTCGCACGGACCGCACCGAGAGCAGCTCCAGGCAAAAGATAAGTGTGCTGAGCAGCAAACCAATCAGAATCAAGATGAATATCACGTAGAGCTCCTGTATGCCAAATAGTCGGAAGCTCAATTGGGTTGCTCGTATTTGGCTCTCGTCTAGCTCCCAGCGTGCCCATATGGCCAGCAGTCCCACGGAGCGCATCCACATGATCTCCTCGTTGAAGGCGTCGATCAGAAAGGAATGCTTCCTCAGGTACATCGTCAGCTGCAGATCGATCACATCCTGCGCAATGATCTCGAAGTGATTCGCCTCCCGCTGCTGGGACTGGGCCTCCGCAGTGTACGCACTCAACCGGTTGTACATGAGGAAGATGTCTTGCACAGTCGCTGCCACCTGCCGTTTGTCCCGCGGGCGCGCAGCCAGATAATGCAGAGGCTGCATCAGGTCGCCGTTGACATCGACCAGGTGGTAACGCATCTGTTGCACCGTGGATATTTCGGAGAGGGCATCGTGTATGCTAGCCGATAGCACCACCGTATAGTTGTGGGCCACCAGCTCCTCGATGGACTGCGGCAGCCTGTTCAGCTGATGCGTGCGTATCAAATGGTAGAGCATGCCCTGGTAGACGGTGCGTATGAGCAATGTGTAGAACATCAACATGATGCAGTAGACACTCTTGGCAATGGAGCTCGACAGCTGCAGCATCGGCATGCCCACAAAGATGAGCTCCAGATTGAGCAGGATGGAGCTCTGCTCCCTCAACTGCAGCAGCCGATCCATAATGAGCAGCAGCACAATGGACATGGCGAAGACGACGACAAGGCCCAGCCAAATGGATGTGGGATACGGATAGAAGAAGATGTCCAGAGAGCTCAGCTCGTAGCTGGCGCTCAGGACACCAAAGCGAACGCTCGTCTGGTGATAGTTGTGGGTCGATGTGGCCGAGATGCTGTTGGCCACCGTCTGGCGAACGCCACCGATGCACAAATCCGCTTCGTCACGTTGCAGCTAGAGACCGAAGACGGTAAGCATTAAAAAAAGAGAACGTTGGGATTGACAAACATTTACCATTTGCAGCATTTTGTTGGTGAACAATTCCTGTCCATTAGGCAGCTGCTGCACTTGAATGCTCAAGTTGAGCCTGGCAATGAACGTCTGCAAGAGGCGACCTTCCAGGCCGCCCGTGATGCGCGTGCCCTCTAGCTAGATGAACGGCGGCATGTGCAACAATGCGGTACGCAGGGGGCAGCCATAGAAGTTGCGCAGCTTCGGCGGGAAGAGCTGGGGATTGAGCATCTGGCTGCCGTTATACCGATTTATCAGCTGGGGCGTCATATCTGCACAGCTCTCGGGCCCGAATGGCAGGTACGTGTAAAGCAGGATGTCGCCATTGGCGCGCTGCACCTGGACGTTGCAATTGATGAGCTGGTGGCGCCAGCAATGCTCGAAGATGCGACGCATCTCGCCTTGTAGCAGACGATCGCGTGCTTGCAGAAAGATGTAATAGTACTCGTTGTAGTTGTACTCCTTGGAATAGGCCTCCACCTCGATCTCCGCAAAGGCCGCATAGGAGTCCGTGAAGATGAGATTGTAGTGCCGGCGACCCGGAACGAATTTACGCAGCATGCCCTGCTCCACAGTGACTATCTGGAGCGGGGCTATGCCCCAGCCGCGAAAGAGTATGCTCATCATCTCGTTGTAAAAGTTGCACGTGTGATTGTTGCGGCAGCAGAGGGTCAGCACCAGCGACGGCGTCACGCTCATAATGTGAATGTGGACCACGTGCAGCAGGGCTTGCGCCACATACTCATTGATTTGGTTCATCTGCTGCCCGGACAAGTCCTGATACGACTGAAACAGCTGTGATATGTTCATTTCCGTGCCGATTCTGAAGCTCAACTGGCTCTAGCAATGGCGTTGGGCCCGCACCAGAGGCAAAAAAGCTTTGATTAAAGTTTTGTTTGTCTTTTCTCATTAATTGAGCTGTAAGTGGTTTATGATTAATGATGGGAAAAGTATTTCAGGATATTGTGGATACTAGGTTCTATAGTTGTTTTGAGTTTACGTCATATTTGTCGCTGTTTCTTATTCATTTTGTGCCTTGCAGTTGATGGCGTTGATTTTACAGTTATATTCGAAAATTGCATTGATTGCTCCTCGAGTGCAGCCAACTTGACGCTGTAAGGACTCCAGTGCTGCCAGACTGTTCGCCATCCCGTTTGCCGCCAAGTCATAAATTTGAATGTGAGCTTGATTTGAATGCAGACTCTCCAATTAGGCAAATGCTCTTTCTTGTTTACAAATTTGACAAATTTATGTAAATTTTTGTAATATATTAAGGTGTGGAATTTCATTGTCACGCACGAGCTTAGCTATTGTTATCGCCTGGCCATTTCTTGACCTGTCTTAACTCGAGCACTGAATATACGCCAAGCCACACACACAAAAGCACATACAAGCACAGTTACTTTTTCCCACAGTTTTTCAAAGCTAATTATAATAACCGATACAAAAGATAAAACGAATATTTCTTTGAGACGCTTTAAGTTGTTGGGCATTACGTAATTAGTCTGAGCCGGCGCAAGAGAGAAAGGAAGAAAGAATGAAAGATATGTAGAAAGAGAGAGAGAGAGAGAGAGAGAGAGAGAGAGAGAGAGAGGGTGAGAAATAATAGGCAATTATATGTGTCTAGCAAATGACCTCCACAAAGAACTAATCAGCTTTCGATCATTGTATACCCCTTAAAATTTCAATAAATCTTTCACAGTTTTCAAAGACTGCCTTGACACGAGCATACCCCATTCCGTATAAGACAGTTGAATATAATAAAAAAGTGAATGTAAAGCCTCCACATTAGCAACATGTAAATAATGGACATAAAAAAATGAAATGCTATTTCTCTCTCTGTCTTTCTCCAGTTTCTGCTCCCTCTCATTTCTTTTCTCTTTTCTAATCTTTCTTTGCCCTCCAAACATGCTGAAATGAACAAACAGGGCAGCAGCTGAAACACGACTACTATATACCCTGAATAAAAGTGATCGTATCTACCCGACTTGTATATACCCTGTAAACCGGCTTTATTAGAGCAATTTCATATCATTGGCCGCGTTCCAAAGAAAAAAGTCTTTTGACTGGTTGTCAAATTTGACAGGTGTCTAAGCATTGATTTTCAAATATTACAGGGTATTTTTAAGGCACATTGGCTATGCAATTGTTAGGACTCATAGAAACCAAAGCAGTCACCAGTTTGTCTTAACAGCCAACAAAGCACTAACCGCAGCAAATGAAATAAGTGCGTGCTCTGGCGGGGCATGCACGTCGAACAGATACCCTATACATCTACCATACGTAGCTGTGCTAGACTGGAAACTACTGCTCAATTTGCAGTCTGAATTGCAGATATTGGAGAGTTTGAGTAGATTAAAAAAATCGATATTTATCGATATTGAGTTATCGATGCAAATCTAGTTTTTAATTAATAGAATATTCACTATAGGAGTTAACTGTTTTTATTCCCTACATACATACACAAAAAACCAATATGCCACTCTTTAATCTTAGTTCGCATTTTACAGGGTATAATTACTTAACACCTCTTTGTAAATGTGGCTGGCAGGTGCATGCCACAGGTCACAGGTGCCAACAATGACAGCACAAATGGGACTATGGTGGTCAATGGAGATTAGTTATCAACGCATATACCATATAAATTATATCTTTTATCATATTGTACCCATTGTTTTGGATTGTATGTCTATTTTATGGGTCTTGGAGCTGTCACATTGGTCAAATGAGCAAGAAAATTTGAAAATTATCGTAGTTATTGTTTAATGAAGGAGGGTGAGGGAGGGAGGGAGAGAAGGGGCGAGCAGGGTTATAGGCGTGCCAAGAGCTCTGCCTCAATGAACTTGTTGACATACAAAAATATATATTTTTCGTTTTCTTCTTCTGCTTCTTTGTCTATTTCTTTTGAAGAAAGATTAAAAACTTTCGGCGCCGATGATGAAATGATGTAAGCGATAGCTGACGAAATCGAAACAGCGCGAATTGCATATACCACGCTTTTATATACCCTGTAATCATATACAATCTGAAGGAGCTGAAGAGCTGAGTGTATGTGTACTAAATAAAACTATCCTAACGAATGCCAGTCCAACTGAACTCAGGAACTATAAGAGCTGGAGCTGATATTTCAATTTAGATATTCAGATATGTGCATATATTGTAGAACTATGTACGCCTAGAAGGCAGTGGAGTATCTCCTAGCTGGGCATTCCCGACTACAACGTTTTTAACTGTTTTTCATTTAATTTAATTTGGGTTATTCAGTTGCAAATTAGTCACACGTCTTGACGTAAATTGTTATTTAATTAAGCAAAAAATATAAATTAAATAAATATGCTTAACTACGCATTGTCACGTTCTTAACGCAGATTCTCGCGATGGTGCGTGGGCGCATTAAAAGAAGAAGAAGAAGAAGAAGAAGCAAAACAAATAATAAACCGAACAAGGTCAAAGCTGAGTGTAGAGCTGACCCTGAAACTTGAGACAATTTACAAATGATATAATTTCATGCAAAGAGAAACTTGAAAATCTGATGAGAAAACACATTTTTAACACAAATAATACGTTATTTGTTAGGTATTTTACAGCACTGTAAATTTTTAAATTAATTAGAAATCATATTTGTTGTGTCCAAAATAGATGTAGAATAAATTACATGGGAAATATTTAA